CATGTGCGGCGCAAACTCAACGTCGCGTTTCGCGGGAGGCAGAAAAAACGTGAGCTCTGAGTCGAAGCAGCCTAGGGCCTGGTGAGCATCCACACCAAGCTCGGAAGCAAAAAGGATGCCGTTATTCTGAGTGCTGCGCTTTCAGGAAGCTGGGTGGGTCGTGAATTCGGGGACACCCAAGGAAGTGTGGCGATGCCGCAGCGCTCCCGTGCAGGCGGCTGAAGGGCATTGTGTCAGGTATTGTCCGCGCTGAACACCTCTCAGCACCCGGGAAGTGTTATACGCTGCAGAGTTACAGGGTGCAGATGAGTACAGTGCCTATTCCAGGGCTTGCCTCCAACAAGAAATTCAGCTTGCAACGCGGACCTACGGTCGTCCACCACTTGCTCCACAAGCCCTGGGGCCATTTGGTACTGCCCGCGCCCACAGGCCCTCCGTGCTAGCGACCCCAGTGACGTGGATGCGGCAGTCTGCTGCGAGGGCATCGGCCAGGATGAGGCCTCAAAGTCACTTATATTAATAATGATAATAATAGTGATAATAAAAAGAAAAACCAAAAACACTAAGAGTAAGAGTAAGAGTAAGAGTAAGAGTGAGAGTGAGAGTGAGAGTGAGAGTGAGAGTGAGAGTGATAGTAATAATAGTAATAATTGTAATAATAGTAATAATAGTAATAACAGTAATAATAGTAATAATAGTAATAATAGTAATAATAGTAATAATAGTAATAATAGTAATAATAGTAATAATAGTAATAATAGTAATAATAGTAATAATAGTAATAATAGTAATAATAGTAATAATAGTAATAATAGTAATAATAGTAATAATAGTAATAATAATAATAAAGTAATAATAATAGTAATAATAGTAATAAAATAGTAATAATAGTAAAATAATAGTAAGATAAATAGTAATAATAGTAAGAATATAAGAATAGTAATAATAGTAATAATAGTAAATAATAGTATAATAGTATAATAGTAATAATAATAATATAATAATAGTAATACTGTAGTAATAATAGTAATAATAGTAATAATAGTAATAATAGTAATAATAGTAATAATAGTAATAATAGTAATAATAGTAATAATAGTAATCAATTAATAATTGTAATTATAGTAGTAGTCGTAATAGTAGCAATAATAGTAATGGTAATAGTAATAATGTAAAGGTAATGGCAATCGTAGTAGTAATAGTGATAGTGCTAGCAATAGTGATAGTAAGACAAAATCAGAATAATGATAACAGTAATAGTAAGAACAATAACACTGACAATAATACTGGTAACATTAGTAAGAAGAAGAAGCAGAATAATAATAATAATCATAATAAAATAATAATAAATAGTCAGAAGTAATAATAAATCATCAGAAATAGTACACAATGAAAAGAAAAACAAATAATGACCAATAAGAAAAAAAGAATAAATGTTACTAAGTAATCATACATAGTAATAAACACAATAATCATGATAATAATCATAATATGAATGAGAGTCAGAACAATAATAATCATTCCCCTGCTTGGTATTCGCATCTATTCGGAGGGGGGATCTGAGCTGCCCTTGCCCAGACGTGCCCAGAGGTTGCAGCCTTTTGGACCGAGTTCATCCCCAGCGTGCAGCGAGCACGTGGAGACTGGGCCAGCCTACCCTCGCGTGCACAGGAAGTGGCCGAAACTTGGAGTGCTTGAGCTTTCATTCCACAGGCTCAAGATTCAAGCGATCTGCAATGATCCAAAACGTCGGCAACTGCTTGGTTTCGGAATGCCGACTTTTTTGCCAAGCGCCGAGGATCGCTTCGCCCCTGCAAAGCTGGCGCTTTATGAGCGCATCCTCGCACGCTATGCGCCTCTCTGGCCTCTGAGAGATCCTCTGAGGGTCATGTCATGTCACGTCCCGGTCCGCCCACGAACTCTCAGACCAAGGGCCTCCAAGAGCAGCCACTGGCTCCGAACTCTCTCGCTCTCACTTTTTCCTACAGTTCTGTGGAGAAGTGTTATGCCCAGTTCATCTTAGGTGCTGCTGTTGCTCCGAGAGGTTACTCCACAGCTTGTTCACAAGATTGGCATTGCCATTCTCTTCGGTGGGCCCCTCAGTTTCGAAAAGCCCACCCTTGTCTTTCGCTGGGTGTACTGCAAGGCGCAGCTCGAACCTGCAGTTAAAAGTCCCGACACTGACGCATGCCCTGGCTCGGAGAGGCACCTGGCGGCTACACCTGCTGTTGCACGACGTGATTGCCGAAGGTCGGATCGAAAGCATGAGGGAGGTGGCGGTTCGACCTGGAAGCTTCCCACAATGCCAACAGCAACGCAGCATCCATCAACGGCCCCTGCAGCAGCTTAACGTGTGAAGACGCATCTTTGCGCATCAACGACAATGGCAGGATTCCGCACAAAGCCAGCTTCAGACATAAGACATCATAAGGTTGCTCGCAAAAGTGTCGTGACATGAGGTAAGGCTGCGTACCTCGAAACGACCAAGAGGCACGGCGGCATATTGGCGGCCACAGTTCCCCCGCAGGAAGCGGGAGAGTCCCCCAGTCGAAACTTCGCACTCAAGGCCAAGAAAATATCACCTTGGCCGGTGAGGATTGGCCCCTCAGGCGCTGTGAGGTGTGAACGCTGAAGCCTCCGCCCGCCCTCCAGTTTAAGAAATTGTGGCCTTTGCTCATGGCGCCAATGGTTCATCAACCCATGAGGGAACCTCGATAAACCCTCCGAGCCTTAAGACCCCACCCAACCCACCTAACCCACCCCATGCAGCAAGGAATCCTGACTCCTTGCTGCCGCGGGCCGAGTGCCTTGGTGGCGGTGCGTCTTGAACAAGCTCAGGGGCTTTCGTTTTCGGGTTGAGGCTTAGGTCTACTCTAAAGCTTTGCACCAGTACTTCTTCTACCGCATTCTATTGTTCCTGCTCCTGCCGCTGCCGCTGCTGCGACTGCTGCGGCGGCTGCTGCTACTGCTGCTGCCGCTGCCGCTGCCGCTGCCGCTGCTGCTGCCGCTGCCGCTGCCGCCGCCGCTGCCGCCGCCGCTGCCGCCGCCGCTGCCGCCGCCGCTGCCGCCGATGCTGCTGCTGCTGCTGCTGCTGCTGCTGCTGCTGCTGCTGCTGCTGCTGCTGATGCTGCTATTGATGGTCATAGAACTGGGCACCTCGATGATTGTTACAGCTGTTGAAGTTGAGAATAGTCCTAGCCTTTTCTTAGCATTTTTTAGTAAAGCTGCGGAAGTGCAGCTGCTGTTTGTCAGATGAAAACCGGCGCAGCCACACTGATCAGTCCCATCAGGAAGATCCAGGACCCACGGCTGCTTGACCTCCTTGGCCTGCTAAGACCTGCGGATTTGCCCTCCGGCGATTTGTTTATTTGTTTAGGTTTCGGATTGTGATTCTGGCTGCCGATGTTTTGGGGAAGGTGTGCTGAGCGGGATATCGCACATGGCCCTTGCGGAAGGCAGCTCATGAAACCTGTAGATTTGAGACACGCGCGTCTGCCGAATTGCCCAGGCTGTTTGAGGATTACAAGTTCCACTACCAGCCGCCCGTCTTATTCACCTTCCATTTTTATCCTGAGTGTTCGAGTGCAGGAGAGAGTGACCTTGCACGGTGACTCACCAAGTTACGCTGTTAAGCAGCGGCCGGACCGCCGCGGCTTCCTCCGGAATATTTGTGCCGCTCGGGGTGAAAAAATGGGGATTGTCGTGGGGTCTTGTCGACAGTCGGCAATTGCTACGTCTCCACTTCTTGAAGCCTGACCGTACTCCACAGCAGCGATGGCTTTGCTTAGTTCGGAGATATGAGTTTTTCCACCTACTCAACTCCGACTTGAGCGCTATGATATCAGACTTGGGGGTTCTGACAGATAGCCTGTGTGAGAAGTGGAAGCTCACAAGGCTCATACACTGGGACAGGGACTGCTTGGATGGCAGATGCGGGGGGCGCCCAATGCCTTGTTGCTGTCTCCTGATGCGGCTTGCATGGGCCGTCTCAGGAGTTTGACTATGGTGGCATGTACTCCTTCGTGAAGTTCATGACGCAGCAACCCTGTCTATCTCCAATGTGGCTGCCCAAGGCAGGGGTGTACAGGGTCATTTTGCTGGAGTCAAGAACATGCTTTGGGTTTTGCCACATGTTGTATGTACATCGGTTGCTGAGGCTCGCTGCGTGCTGTAGCTGCATGCAGATATTGCGAGGATGCTGGCCTACTGCCGGCCCAAGACCCTATGATGTTGTGCATGCAGTCTTTCTGAATGTTCCGGCTTCTTTGAAACGGGTGCTGCGCACGGCCGCCTTTTCGCTCTCACATCTGAAATGGATCCAAGCCTGAAGTTGCAGGCCGAGCTGCTGGACTCGGGAGCTTGGATCGTCCAGGGCTACAAGGCACGCTGGAGAGCCGATTTCGGAATCCTGGTTTTGGCTGTTTCGTTGCTTTTCAAGCACGCTGAAGGTGGAAGATCTCAATGTGGAGTTTACGCTTGTGAACTGTTAGCCTTGTTCCCGAAGGACCAGAGCGAGACAACTGCATCCAATCCCCTGAGTGCTCCGCTTGTGAGGTAGTATATACATGGTCCCCAAACCCTAAAGCCCGAAAGCCCCAAACCCTAAAATTGCTTGCGCAAGTGTGAGAGTCGAAGCCCAAAAACCCTAGAGCCTAAATAACCTTGCCGGCCTTGTGCGAGTGCGAGCGACTGAATAGCCCCGTGTGAGCGTCGAAAGCCAGTAGAATCCGGAGGGCGTCTGGATGTAGTCTCAGTGATGCCATTTTTCGTGGCATCGACACGCGCCCCAAGACCACTGGCACAGTGGGCTAGGCAAGGTGCTTTGCCGGCCCCTCATTTATTCAAGTAGTTGCGGAGAGGCATAACGCCGTATGTTTTTGGACACAAAAGAGCTCGCGTGTGTCAGTCTGCCTGTCCGCTGTCCGATAGCCGGTGGTATGACAGGGCCCATCCTTGTTGAGTTGCCACATTCTGCCTTCACAGCATGGGGCAGTCCCGAGGACTCGCGCCGATGCGATCGGCACAAGAAGGTGCTCTTCGTTAAGATTGTCGCGGGTGAGAGACTGAGTTCCAGCTTCGAGTGCTCGGATTGTAGTTTCAGCGGTCCGCATGTAGGGGATGATGTCGCAAGGTCAGCTTCTTGCTTGTTTTGCACAGCGTACGATGTGTATTTCCACCGAGAGCGGGCTGATTTGTGAGGAGTCCACCGCACTCAGCAGCGCAAATCAAGCTCTTGCGAGCCAGGTAGCAAGATCGACAAGACGGTGGAGATTCCATATGGCGACTTGGCAGCATTCGTCCCTGTCAAGCCAAATCTTATATCATCTTGAATCTTGTGCGCGCAAGTGCTTGCAAAAAAACTGACATCTTAAATCGCTTTCGCCCGTGCCTCTGAGTGAGGTGACTGGGAAGTTGGCTTGTGGCCGCTCGTCTGAGTATGGATACGTTCTTGCCGGCGAAGTGAGGGCAGGAGGCGCCTTAAGCCAGCCTCAACCCCCAATACTTTGCCAGGTCGGACATTGTGCTTATGTCAGCTGTACTGTTGTCCACATCTACAACCCATGGTGGTTACGGTTGTTCACGCATTGTGTGCGCTCCGCTTCTGGGAGGGCCTAGGACCTGCGCGTGGTCTGTGTCACTATGTCTTACTCTAAAGCAGCGTAGTGTCCTGGGTGGATTCTTCATGTTTGAGCGAGGTACCGCTGTCGTGCCCACGAGGCCACCGGGCTGCCCATCCGACAGCCGGCAGCACCAAGATGGAGTTAAGTTGATAAGGCAGATGCTTTTTCAAGCAGTTTTAGTTAGTATGCAAGCTTGCCTTCAGTCCAGTGGCGCCCTGGGGGCAGAGGGAGTGGATCTTGCCAGCAACTTCTACTCTGAGGACGGCTGAAATTGCTTTTTGCGGGAGCCGCTTTGCCAGACGGCCGGCGACACAGCAGCTAATCTGCAGAACGTGGGGAATGCACGGGCTGCAGACGACTTTGCAAGAAAGATTCTGGGGAGAGTTCTGGCCAGCTCCGGCTGGAGATGGATCACTCGGTTTGAGAAATTTGACACGAGCTCAGGTGGCCTACAGGTGCGCAGCACACTTCACCTGGTGGTTCCGGCAAAAGAGGCTGCGCCTGCCTCTGAGCTGTCATCACAGTGATGCCTCTCCTGGGCTGCTGGCGCCATGCCGGTACACCATTCTCCGACAGGCTCTTGAGAAGGGGCTTTCGGAGGTGCTTGCTGTCGGGGGACCTGAAGCCCTAGTTTAAAGGGCCTGGAGCTCTACGACAAACGTGTACAAAGAGATGTCGCGTGGCATGTTTCCCTATCTCGGATGCCTGATCTGTCCCGACATGCTCGTAGCTTGCGGCTGGCAATGCGAGGTGCCAAGCATATTATGCCCATTGAAGCCGCTCAAGCGTGCTGCATGCTGAGATGCGTGTGTGTGGCACAGACTTGTTGAGCACAATCCGGGCTTGCCCGTGCTTTCGGGTGGAGCTGCAGGACGTGTCAAGCACTGTGTGCAGCTGTCTGCAGATAAGCGGCGTGTGGAGGAACAAATGGAAGGGCTGTAGGTGAGCCGAGGAGAAGGCACCATAGTTTCGGTTGAGGAAGGGGTGTAGGGGATAGTAAGGCATAGGGTTTACTTCTCTGTAAACAAGAGGAATGACCGCTGCCATTCCTGCAAACATCCGCTCAGATCGAGAATGCGAGACGTGTATGTACACCCTCCTACAACCTCCACCAGTCTCACCTTAAACCCAGTGCTCGGGATCTTTCGCAATGACACCTTGTGCTCAATCACACTGTCTCCTAGCTTCAAGTGTAGAATTGGCAAAAACTCAATTCCATACTGTGGTCTGCCTTACTACTTAGCTTGAAACGCTGGGGGCGCGAGGACAGTGGGACGGAGACCTGAGCAACCAGACTTCACTGCTGCACAGAGTAGTCTTCTGACCGCGCCCCCATTAAAGATTCTCGTGTGTTCTCATGCTAGTCGGGCCCCTCCTTGTTGTTAAGCCCAGTACAGACCCGGCGCCATGGACAGGGTGGGCTGCTGCCCTGAGAGGCCCACAGCACAAAGTCGGGGGAGTCTCTTGGGACTTCGCAGCTTGCATGCACCGACACAATGCCTTTGGTAACCCGGCCCCAGATGGTTTCCAGGAACCCGGTGAACCGGCAATCGGTTTAATGAAAGTGCTTCCGTGAATGTCAGGATGTGCACAGACCTTCAAGCGCTCCAGTTCGTTGCGTCGCAAACGCAGCAGACTCAGAGCATGACTCTGTGCTCGCGCTTGCCTGACAGCATGGTTGGATACACCGGGCGTTTTAGGGTCGACTGCGCGTCACTCTTCAGAGCGTCACTCTTCAGACCGGCATTGACTGACTGGCTCGGCCTCAAGTTTCAACACACACCGATCAGAAAAGTACCGGGTGAATCGACGATGCTCAAAGGAATTGGGAAACGGGAGCCGCTTGTACTCCTCGGACATCCTGGAATGGTACTAGAGCTGTCGCAGGACTTTTGGGTGTGCCTTAACCGACACGAAGGGGTGCAACATGTCACAACAGTTGACAGCTCAGGGAGCATGTGTTGGTGGGTGACCCACACCGACAAAAAAAGCTGCCGCGCGCTATCTTGGTCTGCGAGATGTTGCGCCCGTTCAAGATTCACGAGCCATCCCGGCTTCCAACGAAATCCGGCGACGCAACGCGGTAGCCCTTGTTGCTTCGCACCGATCACTACCAGGAAGAGCAAGCCCACGAAAAGCCAAGGATTTACTGCGTTGAGTTGTGCATCGGTTGTAACCGTCACGAACCGCGTTGTTCTTTCTCAGCCGCTTCCAGGTCGGTTCGAGACCACAATATTCTTAAGTATATGGGTTTTGAAATTTGAATTGCTGGAAGGAGTAAAAGACATTCATTTGAGCCTTTCATCTGTTGAACGTAGGCGGCACCGCAAGATGTTGAGAAGCAAGGTTCCTGTGTAAAACACGTGAAGGCGGCTCGAGTTGAACTTTCGCTTGGGGTGGAGTTCGGGTGGAGGCGACAGAAACTCGCACGCTCACGCAGCTGCCTGCGGCAGGCTTCCCAGGACTGCCGCGTGTAACAGAGCGAGGAATGCAGCACCCCTCCCCCACCTCCAATTCTACCCGACCCCGGACGTTCTCAGTGTCGGATTTTTGGCCGGTGCACATATAAACATGCCACTGGACAGTTCAATGCAACAGTGAGGGTTTGTGCGTGTCGCATGCTTGCAGAAGCAGCGGAGGACTTGCTGACGAGGGGCCAAAGATTGCTCCGCGTCACATCGCAGGCCTGCAGTGCTGTCATGCGCTGTCAAATTGAAAAACGATTCACAGAGCTGTGTCTTTTCGGCCAAAGATGTTCGTAGGATTCATGGGTAGCCTTTGGGCCTTTGGCCATGAAAGATGAGCCCCTCACCGGCTGAATTGCCAGGTCGACGATGCCTTGCGGAAGCTTCCTTTTTCAAAGGGAGCCACCGCGGAGGAGAGAGCCTCGTCTTTTCAACGCTAAACCCGAAACCCTGAACGTGGAATGCCGGGTGTATCACCTGAGCCAAGTATGGCTCCCCATGTGAGTCCGAGTGTGAGAGCGATTAACCCCTTATATACAAACCCCAAGCCCTTTGCGATGCTTTTCCGTACATTGCACATGACGAGGAGTTGGAAAAGAGAGCGCTGCTGCTTGCACAGCTTGAAGGCCGTGATGCTTTTAGCCCCACACTTGGGGATGGGTGAAACTGAAGTTTGAATTGCATTCCGGCCTTTTGGGGGCTGTTGTGCTTTCAGCATGCTGCCAGGTGAAAAACACCACCAGGCTGACGAGCACAGGACTTCCCTTAATTGTTGTGCAAGAGAAGCAGTAGCGATAGCGGGTGGCGGATGTCATCGTGAAAAGTGGCGATGGTTGTGTGGTGGCGGTGGTGGTGTTGTGGGATGTTCTTGCTGGATGTTTCTGTTCGGGAGAACTTGCATAAGAGCAACAGCGAGGAGATCCTGCGAAGCTGAGCTCGTCTGTAGCCCAGCTTGTAAAGAGGGTTGTTCTAAAGGTCCCATGTTTTCGAGCTATACAGTAGGTGGCCTTATGGTGAAGGGGTCTGGCGAAAGAAGGCGCTGCCAAGCTTCGGCATCAGGTTTTCTGCAGGAGCCACTTGTGCGTTTTCTGGGTTGAATGCTCCTGTTCCCCACGAATGCCGAGCATTCCGAGGCAAGAAATCGAACAGCACTAAAGGGCAAGCCAGATTCCACCAATGCACCGGCTGCAACAAGCTATGCATTTACAAGCCGGTGCGCTTCGCAATTTGTGCGCGCGAGTTCTTGCACAAGGACCTGGGGCCGCTGCTACATTGCTACATCAGCTTTCGCTCGCTCCTGTCGGCTGATTTCGTAGCCCGAGCTGTGCTGTAGTAGCTGCTTCAAGATGGGGATCAAGAGGCGTAGGACCTTGTGCTGCCCTGCAGAGAAGCGCTCCCACGTGATTCCCAGGCTGCCCTTGAGCGCCATGCGGAAGAGACGGAGGCCGACCAAGCTGAGAACGAGGGCTGCTACCCGGTTTAGGGTTTAGGGTTGGGGGTCCCAGCTGATGGCTCTCAGGGGTTCAAAAAAGAGGTTAGGGTTTCCCACCGGCCAGCACCATGTTCGACCATGACAGCGGTGAGGGCTGAGCATCTGCGAGCTTTTTGAGCTTGGCAGACCTGCGCCAGGCCGCGGCGCATGCGCTGGAGGCCTGCATGCACCAACCAAAGCTAGGCTACCAGTAATGTCCCCCCACGCCCCCCCCCCCCCCCCCCCTTTTTGACATCCCCTCCGTTTTTGGGTTGCTGGCCTCCTCCAAACCTGTTTTAAACATGCGGAATGTTCCCCACTCGCCGGTGACCCCATCCAACACCCCACCCCCCTTCTACTTGAATTGAAGCTGTTGCGATGACCGCAGCATCATATGTCATCATAAATGCCTGCCGGTCTGCCTGCAGGCGAAAGCAGCGCTGGCCAGAGCTCGCCAGGCCCATCTTTGAGAAGTTCTAGCGTTGTCCGATGCTGATATAGGGCGGCGAAGGGCTTTGATTGACAGCTGTGAGAGGCCTCCCCCCCCTGCGGGTAAGACATGCCCTGAAACAGCAAGTTCCACGGTTGGCCCCAAGCCAAGCTTGGCCTGGGCAGTCGAGTTTTGCGTGTGCAGTCCTCCGAAAGTTTTTGCAACCCCCTCCTTGTCTTGGATTCTGGATGATTCTGGCCCAGTTCCCGCCCCCGCCTGCCGCGGCGGCCCCGGCAGCTCCATTTGCAAAGCCTGCAGCGTCTGAGGAGTTGAGCTATGCCGCCCGGTGAAGGGATTCAGAGGTCAGATTGTTGCCGTGCGTATTGTGCGTTTCATGGCGCACTGTTGCGGGTCTGGCATGTAGACGGTCTGCAGACAATTCTCGCACAAGACAGGGCCACTGACGCCTCTATTACGTTAACAGGGTTATACCATGAAGTCTAAGGCAAGGGACCGTCATCCATACTCCGTTTTTTTTTTGGGGGGCGGGGTTTGAGTTTGGACTCCAAGAGCTAAGGAATGGCTCCGTATGTCCCGTGAAGACGATGCTCGGCAGGCCCATGGAAGCATTGTGTACAGTGTACAGTATAAAATGGTTCAGTGTGTGAGTCCAAGATATGCTGGAGTCCCTAAGGCCAGCTTGGGTTTGTGCTATATGGACCGCCTCGATGCTCGGAGACGGCTGTCTCGGCGACTAGCTGAGACGGGAATGAACCAGACTTAGCATAGTCGGGGAGTAAGTCGGAGGCTGTCAGAAACTCCCAGGCATCTTGCGGCGAAGGCCTGCCCAAGAGGCACTTCCCAGGACGGATGATCATGTAGAACAAATGCAAGTATGAGGGTTCGATCATGGACTCGCCTGTAGTGACGGTGTTGGGGGGGGACACACATGCTCTGCATGCTGCATGGCAAGATGCGCGTGCGATGGGCATTCTAGCTTCAACGGCAATCAGTTGCATGTGTTAACAGGCAAGAGGTGCGCAAGGTAGAAGAGGCACAGATTCCCCAAAAGCTTTCTCCAGTGCTCGGGCTTGACATTCTGAAGGACAGACCCCCCTCAATCGGCGATTCCCTGGACATCTTGTCGCAGGAGCTCGGGCTCCCGGGAACTCTACTCGTAAACACTGGGGGGCAAGTTCTCAGGTGTTTAGCAGCTGGCCCAGGTGCACAAAATGATGTCGGCGTGTGCGTGCACATCCGCACACATGCAATACATGGAACATGCGTTGCTGTGTGAACCTGCATGTCCATGGCAGCATGCAGGCCGGGTCGTATCGCCTTCTGTTTGAAGAGTTCCGCGAGATCTTCGAGCTAATTGAGGCAGCGCCTGGAAGTCCTGAGTGCAGATGGGGCATGCTGTGGGTGGTATCGGGGAAAGTTCTGCTGGCCTGGACTGCTTCCCACTTGCGTAGCACTGCTTTGCAGCACTGTCAGCCAAGAACGTGCCGTGCCGCTGTATACGCACCCCAAAGCAGGGAAAGTTGCACCACTCCTTACCCTTCGTAGCAGCTACCATGTCGTCCCCCACAGAAACACGAAAGTGCGGGCGCTTTGGGAGACGCAGAGGCGCTCCAAGAATCGCGGCGATCCAGCCGGCATGGAGATGCCTCTCGGATCAGATTTTAAGAGGCTGTGAAATTTAGTGCGTGCCTTCAGCCCGGGAAGGGCAGCAGAAGAGCAACAGCAAGGGTGGCCCTCGGCAAGCTGTCAGTTCCGTTTGGGCTCATGTTCTGCAACTAACGTCCGCCATTCTGCTTCACATCCCACCGCAGCGAAAGGCCCCGACTTAGTGCGGCTGAGGTCCCCTTGCATCTTCGGCAGAGAGAGCTCCCAGGGAGAGCCCATGCACTCAGAGGTTCAGGGTTATTGTTACTTTTCTTATGCTTCTTCTTATTATTAATGTTGAGAACATCTCTTTTTCGGATGGAGACGTGCCTGCTCGAAATCCCCCAACAGCCACGCCACCGGTGCGGTAGCTCCAAGGAACATCAGGATTCTTGCGGCAGTTGTGTGGGCAGCTTCCCGACAATAATAAGAACAATATTCACTGTTGTTTTAGAATTACAAATCAACGTTTAAATTGAACAACTAAGACAATGAACGAACAGTTAAATTTCTACATTTTTTGATTTTTTAAGCACAGAATCGGCATGCTGCCGACTGCCCCGCTTTTTCCAGAGGCCCCTCCACTGCGGCCCTTCGAGGCCATGGCCTTCACCTGTACTTCAAAGCTTCGGGAATCGTTTGCTATTGTATATTATTGTAAATGATTGTAAATGATTGTAAATTATTGTATATTATTGTATATTATTGTATATTATTGTATATTATTGTATATTATTGTATATTATTGTATATTATTGTATATTATTGTATATTATTGTATATCATTCTATATCATTCTACATCATTGTACATTGTAGTATATCATAGTATGTGATAGTCGAGAATTTGCATACTCACCAGGTGCTGCAGGAGCCCACATCTTCCATGGGGCTTCGGGGGACGTCTTTCCTAGGGGCTGTATTCATATGTATGATATAGATATGCATGCGTGCATATATGCATGTATGTGTAATGGTAATATATGTATATAGATATATAGATACATAGATACATATGTATAGTATATTATAGCATATTTTGTGTATTATCGTATATTATAGTATATAATATATTATAGTATTTTATAGTGTATTATAGTATACTATTGTAGTGTGGAATAGTATGTTATAGTATGTTATCGTATATTATCTTATATTGTAGTATATTGTATATGATCGTATATTGTAGTATGTTGTATATGATCGTATATCATCGTGTATTATCGCATATTATATCATATTATAGTGTATTATAGCATATTATAGGATATTGTAGTATATTATAGTATATAATAGAAAATTCTGGCATATTATAGTATATTATAGTATATTATAGTATATTATAGTATATTATAGTATATTATAGTATATTATAGTATATTATAGTATATTATAGTATATTATAGTACATTATAGTATATTATAGTATACTCCAGTATATGATCGTATATGATCGTATATGATGGTATATGATAGTATATGATAGTATAGTATATGATAGTATACCATAGTATATTTTAGTATATGATAGTATATTATAGCACATAATAGTATATTATAGTGTATTGTAGTATAGTACAGTGTATTTAGTATATTAAAGTATATTGTAGTAATTAGATTGTAGTATATTGTAGTATTTTGTAGTATATTGTAGTATATTGTAGTATATTGCAGTAAGTTGTGGTATATTCAGTATATTCTCGCATATATAATGTTCAATACTCAATTATATCATATCAGATTATAGAATCAATTTCGAAAGCAAGGTTTTTCTTGCCTCCAACGAACCTGGCGGCCAGGCGCCGCTTTTCCCCAACAGGCCTCCCGAGAGCGAAGGCCCTGAAGCAGGGACCGCTTGAATGCAAGGGGGGGGGTTGAAGTGGTTGATGGTTTACAGTAGGCTTTAATGATGCTAAGTGTGGTAGGCTTCTTCCTTGAACGGCTGTGAGGGGATTAGCCGTTAAGCCGGCAAGATTGGGATGGCACCGGTGGCATGCAGGCAGCTGGTGCTAAGAATCTTACAAAGACCAACATGGCTCTGCCAATTTATGTGCCAATTTATGTGCGCGTCATCTGAAGCTGTTTCAAGATTCGTCTGGGCAGTAGTTTGCAGGCAAGCATATTTTTATGGCAAAGTCCAGGGGGCATGCCCCAGCAGCCATAGTTCTTCATTGTTTCATCAGACTTCCGTGGCCATCAGTCCTGGAAGCAACTGCACGCGCCCAAACAAGTGCACAGGAATCTAACGTGTGCTCAGCGCGAAGCCATGACGGCTGCTGTCGGGAATGGGTCTGCGGCCTATCAGACGGATGCGCTCCAGCTCGCATGCTTCTTGGACTTCAGGGACCTGGGAGGCAGCATCCCCCACATAGACAGCAACTTTGGTTCACAACGTGTAGCTATACCAAGCGACTCCAAGGCTTCCTGGAGAACCTGAAGGCTGTCCTCGACCAGGGCAAGGTCCAGCAGTGGCAGTGGCACCACCTGGGAGGGCACGTTGTTTAGACCCTCCCCAAAGCCCAGGAGATCCATGCGCGTCTTGTGGGACGCCTGGAGCCTGGGCAGCTTGGACAGGAGACCCGCGACCTCAGTGGCTTCCGAGGGGATTCATGCATTTCATGGCTTAGAAAATAGGCATGTCATATCCCGTCATCACACCTGAACCAGAGAGATCTTTGCGTTGCGTCGTGCTGCAGTGCTCGAGGCATGATGCGGCCAAGGGAAGCTCCCCCAACCCAGCAGTACAGCACTTCCACCTGGCGGAAGAGCCCGAGCTGCTGGACTTCTTTAGACTTTGAAGTTCCTTCTTTCGCGAGGGAGCGGTTGGCTCTTCAAAGGTCGGACCTTGCCCTGCGATTCCCCCCTTGCTGAGGCCGGGGCAGTGGGCGAAGGCGCCGCCCCCGCCCCTTGTCGAGCCTGGGCTGAGCTGGGCTGAGGGATTCATGAGTCTAAGTGCATCTAAGTGCCATAAGTAGGTTGATGAGGGTTTAGGGTTTAGGGTTTGGCAAAAGGGTTTAGGGTTTGGGGTTCTTGTTTTGAAGACGCGGCTCTGCCAAGATGTTATTTCTTGGCCCCTGTGGCCGAGGAGTCTGCGGAGCCAGCGCGGAAGCCCATGATGAAGGCGGCACCGCCAGGAGCACTCATATACTATAATATGCTATAACAAATAATCTAGAGAGAGAGAGAGAGAGAGACACAGAAATGTATTATAATATACTAGAAGATACCACAATACACAAAAATATAATATGCTGTAATATGCTATAATGACATATAATATGCTATCATATACTATAATATACTAGAATATACGATAAGATACTACAATGGCAATAGTACATGATTCATTTGTATATCTATATACCCCGTGGTATGGCATGCCGTGGCCGTCGATAGTGCATCCTGGCTTCTCACGTTGGTGGCCCGTAGTGGTAGTCTGGGTAGTGCTCAAAGCAAGCAATCTTCAAGTGGAGGGTGGCGGAATGTCTCTGATGTCAGCGGCTCTTTGCCCGGAACTCATGCTGAGGCTTGTGAACCCAGCAACTGAGTAACCTCCCAGTTCGGGAATTTGAGTTCCCTCAGCCCTCCTGCTGGAAGGACTTGCCCAAGTTACGGCGGCGGCCGTGCCACAGGCAAAGCTGACAGGGGTGTTGGGGAAGATATCCTTGGGCCTCTCACCTTGTGGTGGAAAATCCGATGCCCAAGTCGCTCAATGCTTCAAGCCGCACCTATTTCACCTGAAACCTGAAACCTTTGATGACCAGGTGAAGGCTCGCCCAACCTCGCCACTGGGTGAATCATTGTGCGTTGCTACATCTGCTGCGTCTGCATGGTTAACGACCCGAACGGCGTGGCATCGCATTCCTCGTTTCAGGTATTTTCAGTTCAGCACAGTGCTCTCGAGATGTGAGGAAAGCGCCGCCACCAAAGGCGAAAGCACCGCCGGCTGGGTACAGGAGATGTGCTTTTCGCAAGCACTTTTTCCTCACGCTTGGGTTAGGTTGTGAATTCAAGAGAGAGCATAGAGTCGTAGAGCTGCCTGCGTTCACGAAGAAACCTGGGTCAGGTGCCACTTGCGCGTTGCTGGTCATTTGAAGACGGGTTCATTACTGTTTCTCAAGCAGGCTTGCTAAGGCAGCCCTTCCAGTTCTTGAGAGCAGGCGTTGCGATTGGTGCCTGGACATGCACGGGGCGCGCGTTTAAATGCAAGGACTCTGCATGCCATAGAGAGTTGGCAATGCTAGTGCGGCAGGATTGCGGAAGACGAGCTGGGGGCTGACACTGCTGGACCGGCGGCCTTGCTTTTTGGGGAAGCAATGGATGGTGTTGTCACGCTGGGTTTGGACCATTTTGGGCTTGGGACTGAAACAACATGAACATGTTCAGCGCAGCGGGAGGTTCATCGTTCGGTTTTCAAAAAAAATAAAAAAAGGTCCGAGAGTTTGGCTTGATCATGCCGTCGCCGATGCAGGAGGGGAGGCAACCAGGGAGCCCAGGGAGCACGGCATCTGGGCCTGCATGGGGGGGGGGGGGCATACCTGGGCTGCACTGCTGCGACTGTCCTACCACATCCTGCTGCTTCATGCGGAGGATTGGCTCACATGCCCGCTCTAGCCCACCTAGCCCTGTCGCGATGTCAGCGACATCAGCATGTCCCCGTCAAGCCTTGCACTACCTTAAGCTCTTCAGCCAAACGCCAAGAGCTTTTTGCGAGTGGCAGAAAGTAAGTGCATGTAATTTCGCAGATCGTCGCAGGGCTCGTGGTCTGGACACCAACCCTGAGATCGTTTTGTCCTTCGAGTGCCACTGAGTAGCTCCTTGCAGTGGTTTGAGTCCTCCACTTGTCTCTTAACGCCATGGCGTTAGAGTCGACTAGGCACCGCAACACACCACACGCCAAAGAATCCCCACCTTGTGCAGCTTCCATGGTCCCTTCACCGAGGCAAAGCTCCACCTCCGGAGCTGAGCACGGAGGCCAACTTCGTTCTTCTCGCCTTGCCAAGCGTGAGCCGCACCTTCCTAAGTGAAATCTTCAAACACAAACCGGTGAGACATGGTGAGACCTCGAGAAGTCGGCGAGGGCAGGTCTTGCTTATATACCCTATGTAGCATTCTATACTCGGCAACTTGAGACGTAACGCTGATACACGTGCACGGACACGGGCTAGGTATGTTGGCGATTGTTGGTGCATGAATGAGGGCATGGCAAAGTATGAAGTATCAGAGTCGAAGTTCGAGATCACAATTTTCAAGAGAGCTGGGCTAGACACTGCACTCGACAGGTTTTGGTAGCACGTTAGCAGCGGAATGTATTTCAAAACCAATACATGTAGTGTGTGTGTGTGTGTGTGTGTGTGTGCGTGTGCGTGTGCGTGTGGGTGTGTGTGTGTGTGTGTGTGTGTCCGGCTGCTTGTGCCACAGCTTTTCCGCGTGGCCTGTCCATCCTTGGAGGGAATGCCAGGATCACCAATGCAGCACGATCTCATGCGACAGATGCTGTCAGACACAGTAGTGCTTGAGAGGCTGCCGCCCCTGGTGCCAAAGGCAAGGCCGAGCCATCCATTTTGAGCGTCACCTTCGCAGTGTTGGTGAGCGTGAGTTACGTAGTTAAGGTTGGCCAACATTCGACAGTCCTTGGGGCAATAGTGCTGGGCAATGGCAACGGTCCTTGAAATTTATGTGCCATCATGCTTATTCTAGTGTGGCAGTTGGTTCTGCCTTTGCCGTTGCAAGTTAAAGAGCGTTTTGGCTTGTTGCTGGCGGTTTTGCTGGACCGGGTCTCTTCCACATTGTGTCAGCTGGGCTGTATTAGGCGGCTTTGCTACATGCTATGGTTGAGACCCTCTGAGAGTTGGGATTAGCAATTCGCCTGCCTGTGCAGGGACTTCGGCAGATCGGACTGAGAATCCCGCGAAGGCAGTGTGTTTTGGATTCTGTCGACATTCGGCGTGTGGGATGTTCCCATGATGTCCCCCCGTAGACTAAAAGTCCCTAGTGGGGATTATAAGGGGGGATGCTTCAGAATCCCTATATTAGGACTGTTAGCAATTAGAAGGGGGACATCCAAATTCAGTCTTCTGAAACTGGGCATTCGAAACTGGCTTGTGACCCTGTACTCTCTGTGATCGGCGAGGCGAAAGCGCCACCCGCCTGTGTGGTGGCGCCCGTGGAGAAGGCACCCCCCGCAGAGTTGCAGGCCAGCTTTCACCAAAGACCAACGAGCGCCGCAGTCCAGGGGCTTAGAGTGCTGAGTGTTGCAGAATTTCGGACTAATGTTGACCCAGTTGCCGTAACGTCGGCTTCAGGGGAGCTCCCGGTCCGAGTGGGAGTTGAGGCTTCGGCTTATCGATTGTTTGGCGGTTGGCATAGTTGGGCCTTCTTTATCGCTCAGGCGCTCACCTCTCAAATCCTCTCAAGATGCCATGCTAGTCTTGTTTTCAACTTCTTCCATCGCGCTCGGTCGGACAAGGTTTCAGACACACTGAGTGTAGCAACGGGGGTTTGTTGATGCTGGATGACGTCTGGAGGTTTCTGGGGTGGTTTGATTGGTCAGCTGCTCCTGACATCCGAGCCTTCCACCCTCGTACCTCTTACTCGGTGGAGCTAACCCTAAACCCTAAAACGCTAAACCCTAAACCCCTAAAACCCCAAACCCTAAACCCTAAACCCCTAAAACCCTATAACCCTATAACCCTATAAACCCTAAAACCCTATATGAATGAGAGTGCTCTGGAAAGGAGCCGCGGCCTCCATCGCCCGACCGTGGCGGAGGTGCGACACATCTTGCTTCTGGCTGCATGCTCGCGAGCCAGTTTCTCCAGGTGTGACTACCTAGGAACTCATATATACAGATATATACATATACATATAGATAGATAGATAGATAGATATATACATATATGTATATATGGACAGGGTTGAAGCAAGACAAGAAATTGCAAGCGCTGCGTGCCCGTCGCCTTGGCCTGGCATCGGGAATCGCGGGCTGCAGTGGCTGAAGGGAAGGCGGCCTCGCGCCAAAGCAGAATGATATGGGCCCCTTAAGGTGGTAACGGGTTCCGAAGTATGGGCCCTTGCGGGTTTGCAAGGCATATAAGGGGCCTATAAGCGGCATATAAGGGGTCCCCTTTCTCAGGTCCCCTTTTCAGGGCCCATACTAAGGGACCATGTAACTATAAAACCCTTGGACGCCGGCGGTTGCCCGATGGTTTGTGGTATGTCGCGCGGTCGGCGGTCTCAAGAAGCGGGCAGAACAAAGCCGAGAGCTGGAAGATAGCAAAATCCAGAAGCGGAAATAAGGAAACAAACAAGGGGTCGAAATCCGACCCGAGCCGATGCGAAAACAAGCTAACAGAGAGAAGCGTACGAGAAGAGTCGAGTGGCTGATCCGATGCAGTTTCCATGAAAGGAAAACGTGGGCCAGCCACCAGGACACGGATGGGCAAGACAAGCCTCAGACAAGCATACGGGAGCCAGGGGCGCGAACGGAGTGTAACCTGTACGGTCTAACGCCCTTGGCGGAGGCGCAAGCGACTTAGTAGGGCTTCGCAGAACCAAAATTGCTCAAGCGAGGCGGCAAGGCAACAAGTGCTTCTGCACAAGCTTTCTCGAAAGCACCGCCACCGCCATTGCTGACCGAGCCCCAGGACCTCCAGGGACAAGTTGTGGCATTTTTTCCTTCGTGAGAGATTGGTCGCAAGCCTGTAAAGGGTTCAGGTCTCATCGCACCCTAAGGCCCTAAGGCTTCCTAGCACAGGCTTGCTTTTGCGAAGGTGCCATCCCAACAAAGGTGTCGTTCTTTTGGGAGCGTAGAATACGCCGGCCTGAGCCTCTGCAAGGAGGAAAGATCGCCGGAAGCTCGCCCTGTAGCAAAGGCAGGCACCGTTGTATAGCGTTGTGATTGCCTGTACCGTGGACATGCGAGTGTAGGTCGCAACTCCATCTTTCAATCGGAGCTATTCCGAGTTTGTGCAGCACCACTTGCTTCAGGAGGGCGCGGCGCTCAGTCCACCAGTGAAGCAGCCGGCAGTGAAGGCGCCGCCGCCGCCCTTTGTCGAGGACCCTTGCTCGAACGAATTTTGCATGATTTTGCAGGCATGGCAGCCACAGCGCAGTACCCGAATGATCCGCTAACAAAATCCCAGCCTCAGAACTTGAATCACAACTCTGATATCTCTCTCCTGGTGGTGCAGGAGGCGCAGCAGCAACCATCTGGGAAGGCGCCGCCGCCTTTTCTGGTGGCGGCTTGGTTGGAAGTGTCGGATGGGCTTTGAAAGAAACAACGAAGATGCTGCTATGGCAAGGAGGAGTCGCCTCCCAGCCCACCAGTGAAGCAGCAGACGAAGGCCAAGGCCCCACCGGCTTTTCTCGCGGTAACTTGCTTGAAGAAGCTTTGGGGTGCATGGCACAGACGTCCTCGAAACAGCAGGCTCTGTAGGCACCATTGACACTTGTGGCTCGTGGAGTCGTGTCATATCCAAAATATCCCCAAGCTTAGAAGCGGAGCATGAAGCCAAGTATTAAGTTGCATGCCGGCACACAGCCGAGAAAGCAAAGTTGAGGGCGGCTCGCCAGCAGAGTGGATCGGGTTAGACCTGAACCAGATCCGAGGAAGGGCCCTCATCCAGCCCGCCAGTGAAGCAGCCAGCGGCAAAAGCCCCGCCGCCGCCGCTGTTGGAAGAGGACTCATGCTTTAGAAAGTAAACCTGTTGCCTCTTGACGGGGGGTTGGGTACGGCCTGAGCAATTGATGCAGCTGAAGCAACCGCATGTTCAACAGAACGCAACATTCAGGAGGTGAGTTAGAGGAGCGCGTAGAGTTGAAATGTCACGAGCCTCGCCGTGCGGGCACTGTTCCTGTAGTCGTCAGATTTGCAGAAGTGACAGTGGAACGTCCGTGAACACTTGAAGCATTGCAGGATTCGTAAAGCAGTGCTTCATTCAGGACACTGTCAGCTTAGGGCCTATGAAGTAAGCTACTCCCTCTTTCGCAAAGTCCTCGTCACCTCGCTCCTCGCATGTCCGCACACTGACCCCCTTTAATCTGGCAGGTTTCGTCATTCGTCTTCCCTTTTCAATCAGGAGAGCCCGCCGGCGAAGCAGCTTGCGACAAAGGCACCGCCGCCTTTGCTGGAAGCTGCAGCCGCATGCCGGCATGGGCAGCAGGGGCGGAGAGAGAGCCCGGCAACAAAGGGTCAAGGATCATCTGTGAGCCGAAGGGATGGTGGTAGGCAGAGGCTGGCACAGGGGCCGGAGGGGATGCACGGTTGCACGCTATTCTAACACTGGCGCGGGAACCTGGGACCTGATGTGCGCTGGGCGGAGTTGGTCTGGCTGAGGGGCAGAGGTAGAAGAAGGAGAGCAAAGCAGCCTGGGTAAACGGGGTCCGGCACGGCTTGGGTAAAATTCTTGGGCTCATTGCTGACGTATGCTGGGCTGTACAAGAGGGCCTGCATTCGAGTGGCCCAGAGGGGAAGTAGCAGGAAAGCCTCAGGTCCAGAAGTGTTGAGTGTTGAGCGCTCAGCTGACAAGGATTCCGCTGGGCATGAGGTTCAGGGGGAAAAGTTAATCCTGGATGCAGAAGGTAAAAACAAGCCTTGCCGAAACGTGCGAAATGTGTTTGCAACAGCATTTTCTTCTTAATTTCTTCGCCTTGTGTGCTTTGACACTTTTGGATCTTCATTCTTTCATCCGCAAATGTCATTTTCGGCGCGGAGTTGGTGATGAGGTTTGCTTTCAACAGACATGTTTCCGGAAGCTTGGCACACTTGGGGGAGCCGTCTATCCCAAGGACGAGCCGGCAAATCCGCCAGTGAAGCAGCCGGCGGCAAAGGCGCCGCCCCCCTTCCTTGCGGAGGACTTCTCTTCAAGGGCTCGCGGCCGAAATCGCACATGAAGCCAGATATTACAGGAGCCAGCTGCGCACATTGCAGCGCTGGCATGTGGCAAGGGCTCTCGACATGCATGACCGCTGCATGGGTCGCAAGGAAGAGCGACCTTCGCAACCTGGCCCGCCCGCGAAACAGCCGCCGGTGAAGGCCTTCCCTGCATTGAAAGGTGTGCAGCCGTTTGCAGCCATGCTGGAATTGAGCAACTTCGAAGGAGCCTGCGGCAAGTCCGCCAGTGAAGCAGCCGGCAGCAAAGGCACCGCCGCCTTTCCTCGCGGCCGCACGCCCGCTTGAGACAGCTTGTGACAAGTTAGAAGGGTGAGTGTCAGCCCAGAATCGACAATCTCACCCCGACAACGTCAAGCAGACCAAGGAGGAAAGCCCACCAGCCGGTTCCTCACCAGCCGAGCAGCCGCCAATGAACGTGCCTGCCTCCAGTGTGCCCACCTCTGGTTTGTCATCGTGGCTTGTGTGCAGCTATGTCCAGCCCTTACATGTATTTTAGAGGGGTGGAAGCTAAGTAAATTAAATAGTCCAACTTGTCCAACACGTGCAGCGCAGCGTGGAAGAGAACTCCCCATTCGCGGAAAGATCAGCAGGAGGCGACCCCCGCTGCAGAGACGAGCTCAGCAGAGGAGCCGGCAGCGGCGAAGGCAGCGCCTCCCCCTTGCAGCGATGCCGGTTATTCGCTTTGCACAGGTTCCGTTACGAAGGGATTCTCTGAACACTTCCTTCGAGGAGCACGAAGAAGAGACATATACGGGTCTTCCAATTGCCTTCTCCAAGGGGAGATAGAACCAAGTGCAAAGTTCCTGCGTTCACCCTCAGAGTTTACACAGAACAACTCTTCCAAATCGGCCGCAGGCGATTGCAGGTGTCCGTCCGTTACTCATGACCATGCTTTGTTCGGCTCTGTAAAGCCCACACTCCTGATTTCACGACGTCGTATCATAAAAAGGACGAGCGGCCGCCAAGTCCGCCAGTGAAGCAGCCAGCAGCAAAGGCACCGCCGCCCTTCCTCGCGGCCGCTTGCCTGGATGGTAAGACGGTAAGACAAGCATGGGGGCATCTGATAGAAGACTGCCACAAGTCCCAGGCGCGGAAAAGGGGGGGGACCTTCAACGCATGAATGCTATTTCTTCATGGGCCTTCAAACGTTGAGAACCGCGAGCAGACCAAGGAGGAAAAGCCACCAGCCAACGCCTCTCCAGCAGAGCAGCCACCGGCGAAGGTGCCCGCCCCTAGTATGTCAGTATGTCTTCGCAGTGGTTTGAGGCCAGCTGATCCCAGCATGACAGGACGGAACACAACACTGTTGCATTCATGGAATTTAGGAGTTGAATCTCCGGTCTGGAGGAGGGGACGCCTGCTGCGGAGACTAGCCGTTCGCCAGAGGAGCCGCCAGCGGCGAAGGCGGCACCTTGCCACAACTTGCTTGTAAGTTGTGGAAATGGGACGGTGCAGTCGGAGCATGTTTGAGAAATTTGAGGCGTGTTGTGCGACGTGGCACATAGTTCCTGCTCGACGTGACTGTACAGCATGGTGCAGAGCGGCCAACCACGAGCCCTCATAGAGAGCGCGAAGAAAAAGCAACAGCTGTCTCCCTTGCCTCGTGCAGAAGGAGAGAGGGAAGGCAGAAGTTCCTTCGGAACCATAGCCAGGTTTTCAAGCCTACCGTCGTCACCATGTGGCCGCTCAAGCGACAGAGAAGGCCCCACTCCTGGGATACGATCATCCGTAACACAGGAAACAGGAAACCAAGGAGGCTGGAGGCGTCTGTTTCTCAAGGTCCTCCTGCTCCTTCGCCACTGTGGAATCAAAGTTAGTGTAAACCCATGCTTGGCGAGACTACTTTCTTTCGGCGTGCTTGCTTCACAAGGACGAGCGGCCGCCAAGTCCGCCAGTGAAGCAACCAGCGGCAAAGGCACCGCCGCCCTTCCTCGCGGCAGCTTGCCTGGATGGTAAATTTCGGACAAGCCTCATCTGATTGAAGACTGCCCCGGGAATATAAAGGTGGGGACCATCAGCACATGACTTTCCTCATGTTCCGAAGCCTTGAGAACCGTGAGCACACCAGGAGGAAAGGTCACCAGCCAACGCCGCTCCCGCGGAGCAGCCGCCGGCGAAGGTGCCCGCCTCTAGTGTGTCCTCGTAGTGGCTTGAGCCCAGCCGATCCCAGCAGGTAGAAGAGGGGTGTGAAGCCGTTGAAGCAACACGTGGTGAACAGCACGGAACACAACACTGTTGCATTCATGGAATTTGGGAGTTGAATCTCCGGTCTGGAGGAGGGCACGCCTGCTGCGGAGACTAGCCGTTCTGCAGAGGAGCCGCTAGCGGCAAAGGCAGCACCTTGCCACAACTTGCCTGTAAGTTGTGTAAAGGGGACGGTGCAGGCGGAGGATGTTTCAGAATCTGAGTCGTCTTGTGCGACGTGGCACATAGTTCTTGTTGCTCAAGGTGGCTGTACAGCACGGCACAGAGCGGCCAACAACGAGCCCTCATAAGAGCGTGAAGACAAGCTGCTGAAAATCCCTCCCGCCCTCCCCAGATGGGGTGAAGGTGCATGGATGTCGGGCGCATGCCACGGCCATCATTGCTCTGTTTCTCAAAGTCCCCCTGCTCTTTCGGCACTGTGGAATTGAACTTTGTGCAAACCCATGCTTGGCGAGACTACTTTCTTTCGGCGTGCTTGATTCTCAAGGATGAGCGGCCGCCAAGTCCGCCAGTGAAGCAGCCAGCGGCAAAGGCACCGCCGCCCTTCCTCGTGGCCACTTGCCTGGATGGTAAGTTTCGGACAAGCCTCATCTGATTGAAGACTGCCCCGCGCATGTAAAAGGGGCTTACCATCAGCACATGACTTTCCAATGTCTCAAAACCTTGACAACCGCGAGCAGACTCATCTGATTGAAGACTGCCCCGGGCATGTAAGAGGGGGTTACCTTCAGCACATGACTGCTATTGAACATTGAGAACCGCGAGCAGAGCAGGAGGAAAGGTCACCAGCCAACGCCGCTCCCGCAGAGCAGCCGCCGGCGAAGGTGCCCGCCTCTAGTGTGTCCTCGTAGTGGCTTGAGCCCAGCCGGTCCCACCATGTAGAAGAGGATAGAAGAGGTGTTGAAGCCGTTGAAGCAACACGTGCAGCACAGCACGGAACAAAACACTGTTGCATTCATGGAACCTGGGAGAAGACTAGCCGTTCAGCAGAGGAGCCGCCAGCGGCGAAGGCGGCACCTTGCCACAGCTTGCTTGTAAGTTGTGGAATTGGACGGTGCAGTCGGAGCATGTTTCAGAATATGAGGCGTGTTGTGCGACGCAACACATAGTTCTGGTTGCTCGCGGTGAGGCATGAAGTTCCTCCCTTAGTCCTCAAGCATTGAGTACCTACCGTCGTCACCATGTAACCCGCTCAAGCGACAGAGAAGGCCCCACCCCTGGGATACCATCACCCGTAACACAGGGAACAGAAACCAAGGAGGCTGGAGGCGTCTGTTTCTCAAAGCCCTCCTGCTCTTTCGGCCCTGTAAATTCAAACTTAATGTAAACCCATGCATGGCGAGACTACTTTCTTTTAGCGTGCTTGCTTCTCAAGGACGAGCGGCCGCCAAGTCCGCCAGTGAAGCAGCCAGCGGCAAAGGCACCGCCGCCCTTCCTCGCGGCCGCTTGCCTGGATGGTAAGACGGTAAGACAAGACCTGGGGACATCTGATAGAAGACTGCCACAAGACCCAGGCGCGGAAAAGGGGGGGAAGCTTCACCGCATGAATGCTATTTCTTCATGGGCTCTCAAACGTTGAGAACCGCGAGCAGACCAAGGAGGAAAAGCCACCAGCCAACGCCTCTCCAGCAGAGCAGCCACCGGCGAAGGTGCCCGCTCCTAGTATGTCTTCCCAGTGGTTTGAGGCCAGCTGATCCCAGCATGTAGAAGAAGGCTTGAAGCTTCCCACCCAGTGCAACACGTGATAAACAGGACGGAACACAACACTGTTGCATTCATGGAATTTGGGAATTGAATCTCCGGTCTGGAGGAGGGGACGCCTGCTGCGGAGACTAGCCGTTCTCCAGAGGAGCCGCCAGCGGCAAAGGCGGCACCTTGCCACAGCTTGCTTGTAAGTTGTGGAATTGGACGGTGCAGTCGGAGCATGTTTCAGAATTTGAGGCGTGCTGTGTGACGCAACACATAGTTCTGGTTGCTCGTGGTGAGGCATGAAGTTCCTCCCTTAGTCCTCAAGCATTGAGAACCTACCGTCGTCACCATGTAGCCGCTCAAGCGACACCCCTGGGATACCATCACCCGTAAAACAGGAAACCAAGGAAACCAAGGCGTCTGTTTCTCAAAGCCCTCCTGCTCTTTCGGCCCTGTAAAATCAAACTTAGTGTAAACCCATGCTTGGCGAGACTACTTTCTTTCGGCGAGCTTGCTTCTCAAGGACGAGCGGCCGCCAAGTCCGCCAGTGAAGCAGCCAGCGGCAAAGGCACCGCCGCCCTTCCTCGCGGCCGCTTGCCTGGATGGTAAGACGGTACAGTAAGACAAGACCTGGGGACATCTGATTTAAGACTGCCCAGGGCAAGGAAAAGGGGGTTACCGAACGTTGAGAACCGCGAGCAGACCAAGGAGGAAAGGTCACCAGCTAACGTCTCTCCCGCAGAGCAACCGCCGGCGAAGGTGCCCGCCTCTAATGTGTCCTCCTAGTGCCAGCCGATCCCAGAATGTAGAAGAGGGGTGTGAAGCAACACGAACACAACTGTTGCATTCATGGAATTTGGGAGTTGAATCTCCGGTCTGGAGGAGGGGACGCCTGCTGCGGAGACTAGCCGTTCAGCAGAGGAGCCGCCTAACCGTGCATGTGACGCAGCCCTTGGTCCTTAAGGTGCTTTCAGGCAAGGCAGCTGTTGACCATTTTTTATTCATGAGGCCTGTAGCATGTTGCGCTCGGTGAGCATCTTTGAGCTCACTGCAAACTGTCTGTCTGAAGCACTAGCGCTTCAGCGGGCAGCCAGCAGAAGCTAAAGCTACTCTTGCGATACCAGTCACAAGCCTCCAAGCCCACACAAGCTGTTTTGGCTTATCCCAACAACGAGTCCTCTGCACTCTGTGACTGAAGTCCCCCTCGCCCAGGAGGGCGAGGTCGGCCATTCAGCAGAAGAGCTTCCAGCGGCGCAGGCACGTGGATCTTAAAGGAACTGTCCAACATCTGAAATAGTTGGGGGGATGGGCTGATGCCTAGCCCTTTTTTGGCGCTCGTTGCTCGCTCCATGGGCCGGTTAAGGTGTTGAAGATGCGTCGTGTCCCAATTTTGGCTGATTGCCGAACGCCTCCGCAGTAGGCCAGTAGACTCAATCCCTCTAAAATTGAATCTGGCACCCATTGCAGTCTTGCTTGACGTTAAGGCACCGCCTGCTTCTCCGAGCCAGGAGGTCTCTGAGAGATAGTTTTAACAACAGCTGGGGAGACAGCTGCTTCTGAGCTTCTGCCAGGCGTTGGCACCCAGCAGCCCAGTGCTAGCGATATTGTCCGTCTTTGTAAGAAACGTGTTTAGAGAGATAAAAGGAGCAGAGTGTGCGTAAAGTGTTTCTGGAAATTTGTTGGCACATGATCCTGAATCCGGCATGCGTCAAAAGCGCGGAGTACTTCTTTCAAAGTAGTTGTTGCATTTTTTGCGCTACGGAGGTGTGAAACGCAGGTTACTGAGTGTCTTCACTGGGCAAGATGCCTGGCAGCTTTGCATCAGATGCAGCCGATGGGCGACCCCAGGACGTTGCTTGGCTTAGCTCCCGTGAGGAGGTTCCTTATCAGGCCCGAGACCTGTTCTGGGATGGTACGCATGTGGCTTTTACATCGCGCATTTTGTTTTACTCCAGGATACTTCGGCCATCCCAAAGCCCAAAGTCCAGCCCACGTTTTGCGGATGGAGCCTGAAGCAGCGAAGCATTGTGAAAAAGTGCGCCTCCCCTGACCTGTCACCGCCATCGCACAGGGGTCAGTTAGGTTGCCCTACCGGAACTCCATCGGGAAGGAAGGGGCTCGAGCGCCAGAGCAACCTCAACGCATTCAAACCGTTTGCTGGTAGCAAGGCGACGCGGACAAGCTGAGAAGTACTACCACCGACAGCCACCCCGAGACATGCGGGGGGGAAGTCACGGGGCTCAGGCAAGGAAAAGAGAGAGAAAAAAGAGAAACAGATTCGGGGTTAAGTGTCAAGGAAAGAAAAGAAAAAGAGAGTGGGCCGGCGACACTTGCGTGTTTGTTAAAGTGTCATGCGCGGACTGCAGAGCCCGGGCCCGGGGGTCTTCGGACCCCTCATGCCCAGCAGAAGAAGGACCTGTCCCCGTGGGGCAAGCCGAGTCGCTCGCAGTGTCGCAAGGGCCGACCAGGAACGTGGGTGCACGCCTGTGCGCGATGGTGGGGGCAGACCACGAACCCTCAATCTTTTCGAGGGAAGAAGAAACAGAAGAAACACAAGAAGTAGAAGAGAGCTGGTGCGGGGTGACGGGTGTGCCCCCCTCCTCATGCCTTGTGAGGAGGGCGAGAGAGAGTATGGAGATGTGCTTCTCCAAGGTGCGCACTGCGCAGAGGGTACACCCCCCTAAGCCCCGCGCGAAAAGAGAGGGAGAGAGAGAGAGCGAGTAAGAGCGAGAGAGAGCGAGAGAGCAGAGATACTGCATGTATGTGTTTATATAATATATATATATATATATGTGTGTGTGTGTGTGTGTGAAATCGACACCTTTATGTATATGGAGAGACAAGGAGGGAGAGTGACGACAGAAAGAAATAGAGCAGCAGAAGAAGAGCGAGCTGCAGGGTTTTACCTTTGCATCCTTTAGCCCTTTGCGTCTTACACCTGCGGGAAGAAGAGCTGCGTGGTGAACTCACGACAGGGGACCACCTGAGTCTTGGGTGCGCGACGTTGCGGGGTAGAGTGGGGCTCCGGCACTAAGTTCTCAAACTCGCGAACTCGGCAACAGCCATTCGTTGCTGCCGCAGGCCTCCCAGCCCACAAGATCGAGCTGAAGAGCTTGCTGCGCGTTCCGCGAAAAAGGCTGCCTATGGATGATTGCCGGAGAAGAGACGAGAACGCTGAATCGGGAGGGGCTTTGGTGGTCTTCGTGCCTTTTTTTTCCTGAGATGCGCTGTTTCTGAGCTTTCCAGTCAAGGTCAGTCAGGCCCAAGATTGATCTGACAGATAGCAATCAGGACATTCCTGTCACCCCACTGCTCTCCACAGCCATGGGAAACATGGGATCCTACAACATGTCCTGCCCTCCGGGGGGCACGGTGATTGCGCTGCAGGATCCGCAGGACTGGCATCTAGTAGCCAACAGTGCAGCTGTGTACCCTAAACCCTATTTAAACCCTAAACCCTGCTTGAGGAGTGCTTTTCTGGCAAGCCCACCTGGAAGGAGACGGGCTGCGGACCTTTGTATCCCCACCCAGCATGAAATTCGTCACTTCTTTTTGAGGAGACCTCAAAACCTCAGACACTAGCGGCCTTGCCGGAGACCGTGTGGAAGGATTTTGCGGGGAAAGTCAGCGATGCTTGTAACAGGCGCGTCGCTGCTGTCCCCAGCTGCATAGGGCTCTCACTTCGAATGCTCGTACACAGCTATTGCGCAGCCACAAGAATGATGACCTAGATGCAAATCCTCAACAAGTCTCTAATTGTGAGCGCGCTCTCGCGTAGGTTCTGTGCGTGAGTTCCTGTTTGGATTTAGTCTGCACAACAGGTGCTGGGACGAACGGTTGCCCTTTTGTGGCCTCATCTTTATCATTTTCCCCTTCGTCAATGCCTTCTCCAACATCACCAGCAGCTCTAATTCTGATTCAGTCGGTATAAACCTGGGCATGGTGATCTCCAGCTTCTGCATGCTGCTTGCTTTCCTCACCATCCTCGGTGGGCGCTTCGCCATCAGCAACCGAAACCAGAGTCAAGACATGGTCATCCGAATGGCTTGCCAGCAGTTGGTCTCGTCGTCGCAAGGCGCCTTCGCGGCCGAGTACCGCACAATGTGGACGGGCCACTGCCGGCCGAAGGGGGCCAGAGTCATGCGGGTCATCGTCATCTCCCCCGCCACCGGCTCCGCTGCAGCTTATGCACAACCCATCATGGTCACCGTGCCCCAGGGGGCCACTGCAGGCCAGATTGGGGTCAGCAAATTGGCGCAGTCTCTCTCTCCCAGTGATAAGACGCTTTCGGGGCAACGATTTTTCTCAAGCTTCTTTGTGGCCCCCGGGAATACTGCAGGTGCAACGCTGCAGGTGCAGACCCCCAGTGGCCTGCAAAGCGTAACAGTGCCGCCCGGGGTTGCTCCAGGACTGTGCGATGCACAGCTTGTGAGAAAATGTGGGGTCGCAAGTCGCACTTCCAGCTCCGGTTAGGCCGGTTAGGCACTTCGGGTCGCGGGGTGCCAGGACAAACCTTTTCCTTCACACCCACACCAGCTGTTGTGGCTCCTCCGGTGGTGGTCGTTCAAGCTCAGGCACTGCGGGGTTTTTCTGCTGCGGTGTTCAATGTTAGTAATTCGTACGCTCCTTGCTGAGCCCTACGTAGCCTATGCAGGTGGTTGGTGGAGCTCCTTTGGGGGGTACCGTCGACGCTGCACCTATGGCCTGAGTGATGCCGGGTAGTAGAAGTGGGCAGTGACGAGCAATTGAGTGTGGATATGTCTTGATCATCTGCGGCATCCACCATTGACTGTGACGGCTGCCCTTCCCCCAAGGGGACTCGATGTGTTTGCACAACGTACGTGGCAGGTATTGCCTCTCGCAGCCGAGAACATCAGTCGGTGGGGTGCAGATGGTAATTCGTCAGCGTTTTTCCTCCTTCCAGTTTTGCTGAGTGGCCAAGCCACCCGTAGACAGGGCCCGCCCTGAAGGCGCAGGGACGAGTTCCTGGAAGGGCGGACGTACGAGATTCGATGAGATAAGGCAAAACCACCGTACCTGCTTTGCAGCTTCGGGCGCTTGTGGGGATGGGGCGTTGCGCCTAGAAGAGGCCCGATGCGATCGTAGAACGACTATGCCAACCATCAGCCTGTCGGCTCAAAGCTCACGTCGGTAGAAGCTGACTGAAGCTGGAGGCTCGGACCTTGCAGCTCTTGCACGCTTCCTTGCGCTCTCCTTTACAGTTCCTTTTTAGTGTTCTGTTGCTATGCAAGGTCTAGGGCAGCTGCGCAAGATGCAGTGGATGAGGCCTGCCAAGAGCGGCTGCCAGGGTTTGTTGCCCAGCAGTACGCAGGAGTCCCCTGGTTGACTTCTTACTTGAACAATGCATTCTGGAATGGACGTGGCTGATTATGACGGACTGCGAGAAGCACAGGACAATCCAGATTGAAGCCACCGATTCCTGTCCACCACTCCGATGTTGAGCTGGTAGTTGTGCCTGCGTGAGGTGGGGTGCGGTGGCCGCAGCAGCATTGCTAGGCTGGAGCTCCTGAGCAACTGGGGCACGAACATAGGGATTTTCGTCCAAGATCTTGCGTAACAGAAGCATGAAGAAGCCATTCTGTGAGGACCTCGTTCACTCACTTAAGATCACTAAAAGTTGGAGGCTTGACGGCCTTGGCTGCTTTCAACCTCCGTGGTTCGGCTTTCACGCTGCGCCTTGAATCCGCCGAAACCACTGAGACGCGGCGGTCCGGGGACCTAGTTGATGCGAAAAGCCCACAGGAAGAGCTCACCGTCAGGGATAGCAGGGAGAGACACGCACCCAGAGAGACGGACAGTTACAGACCGAGACAGACGGAGGGAGACAGAGACAGACACGAGGGCCCTTGATTCCAGCGTCTAGGGTCAAAGTCATGTATCATCCGTAGTTGCGAGAACAAACGTCGCATCTGACAGGGCCCCTTGAGCACAGGAAGGGGGCTAAGCGTCCAGAGAGAGAGAGAGGGAGAGCGACAAAAGGGCACTTTATTTCCCTTCTCGTTTTACGCGCATCATGTATGTAAATTTAGATCATCAAAGAAGCCGGAAGCGCTGCAAATTGCGGCTTTAAAGCCTCGCGCACGCCCGGCCAACTGAGGCTGTGGCAAGTGTGACAAGTTAACAACTGTTGTGTGTGCGGACTCCTTTTGGGGCAGCGTATCAAGTGCAGTCTTGAAGCCTTGTGATTTTTTTGACCTCAGAAGAAGTCGCAGCGCAAGTGAAGAGTTGCCATCCAAAGTTTTCACATCGACTTCTCGACTTCCATGTTAGAAACGGGGCAGGGATCGGGACCTTTGGCGAATATCATGGGAGGGACCTTAGGGGATGTGAGTGCGTTTCTGTTTTGAATGCTGACCATGACAAGGGTTTCCAGTCCCTGCGTGCACTGTGCCTTCCCGAGGTTGTCGACACAAAAGCAAAACTGCGGCGTGTGCGCCTGAGATCACCAAACGTGACTCCATCCTCAACTCGGACAAGTTGCATTTCCGCCACACTGCGTCCCGAAGTTGAGGCGCTTTAGGAAATTCCCAAGCCAACACTGTGAGTAGCCGAAAGCAGATCTTGTTGGGGATCCTCATGTTCTTACATGCAGCTCAGGAGGAGCAGCCACCGCCGCCTGGCGGGCAGTGTGAGGCATGAACTTCAAACTCGTTCCAAAACGTCGTTTGTGCGGGCCGTTTGAACTAATTCAGGCCTTTTGCGGCCTTGATTTGTTTTCGGACCTTGCTTTGGCTTTAGGAGTGTGCGGCATAGACATAGATTAGATACAATAGTTGACGCGTTCGCTTGACGCGTTCGCTCGCTTCTGCTGTGTATGTTCTGCTTGGGTGTGTTTATGACTGAGACTTGGCAGTTCTACGTATTCTCGCGATTCTAGCTCAAGTCGCCTTGCGCCATGCCTGCAGGTCTTCTTGTGGTTGGGGTTCTGTTCTTGGTCTTGTGTGATTGTGTGGTCGCAGTTCTAGGGGGCTCTTCTGGCTTCCTTCGGGGGTTGTGATTGCGGTTTTGGGCCCGGCCCGAAAGCAAAGGCCAGCGGCACTCAAGGTTTTTTCCCAAACGCGGTTTTGCCCCTGAGTTCTGTTACGACAGTTAGCTTGGCACAGATGGCCTCGAGGCCGGATTTTTGGGTTTATCGTTCGGATGGGAGTCTGGCTTGCCTTCAGTCCAGTAGCAAGAAATAGTTAAAGGCGGGGGGCCGCCCCCCCACTTCCCCCTCAAGGAAATACCCTCCCACCCCACCCCTCCCACTCCCACTCCCACTCCCACTCCCTCGCCGAAAAGATGGATTTTATCAGTATTTCGGCAGCAGAAGTCAAGCGTTAATTGCAAAAGCCCCGCATTGTACTGCTAGGTTGCATGCCTTGCGCACGACGAAAAAAGCATGGTTTAGCTTTCGCGGCCCCGATCGCAGGTTGCAATTTGCTGAGCTGAAGATGTCCCTAAGAGGCCCAATTACATTCTAGCCGCCAGGGCCACAAGACCGGCAAAGTGTTTGCAAGTGAGGAAGGTGCTGCTATCGGCTTTGCTGTTCTTGTTCGGAAAAAGGAAGAGAAAGAGAGCAAGTCCAACCGCAACCAGGATAAGAATCACTTGTACCAAGGCAAGAGCTGGTAAAAACTCTACGCAGGCTGCCTTACGACGAAGAGAGTAACAGGACGTAGGCTTCCAACCGAATGCAGACAGGTTACCAATGCGGCATTCCCCAAAGAAGGTTTTGGAATCTGTGAACGCAGTCGACCCTTTCACCACCCTAAGCTGCTCTGGCGAGACCCTTGTGCGGAAGGTGACGATCCTGCACATCAGTGACACCCACAACTTGCATCGTGCGATGTCGCAGGAACTTTGCTGGCATTTTGGATGTAGAGGATTGTTTCCCTGGGCCGCGAGCAGGGCTGCGCAGTCCAATGTAAGCTTTCGGCTCAACATGTAGAAGAAGCAGCTTGACCAGCATTCGGCGCAGTACGCTTTCTGGTCAGCGCAGAAGTGCGGTGGTTCAGAGGAGTAACATAGTCCTTCTCAAGCCTCGAAAGGGTTCGGGAACCCCCCCTCTTCATTCTGCCGGAACTGCAGCCCAAAGAGGCATACCCTATGCCAACCGCCGACATCATGCTCCACACAGGAGGCGCCGTAAAGGGTGTAGGGAGATGGGGCAAGTCTTCATGGCCTCGGGATGGGAATGTACATACTGTAGCTGAGTCGATCTTGTTCTGAGCCAGCATGGTCGACAATCTGTGCGTTCCTGTCTCAACCTTAACCTTGCGGCCCTCCATGAGCAGGGTAACAGATAAAGAGGCCACCGGCCTTTATACAAGTCATAAGATATAACGGCCCATCCTGGTGTCCCTACTGTGAATGGGTCACATTGGTGGCTTCCCGCAGCCATCTTGTGCTCGGAAGCGGCCTGGGGGCGCGCAGCATCGGCTGTCGCCATGTGGGCCGCTTCGGCCGTCTTCTTCCTACGTGGCCGCCTCAAAGTCGACATCTTTGATTGCCTGCAAGAGACATCAGTGACATGAAGGGGCCGTAGTCTGCACACATCCGCAGCATTCCGCAGCCCTGAAGAGAGGATTCGTCCCCCCGACCGTTTTGCTCGCCCCCCCTCCCCAAGGGCTCACCGTTGGCGCGGTGGAACCTGGCAGCGGCCAATTCGAGCCGTGGCTGGACACCGGGAACATGGGCCACGAGACGTGCGTTGAAAGCTCGCATGTGAGGGAAAAGGTCATGAAAAGGTCATCTGAAGCCCAGTTTCCTGGATTCCTCTGGCCATTGGATTTGCGGTTCTTGGGCTCTGAAGGCAAACGGCGATTCAAGGCATTCAAAGCGAGCAGCCCTGTAGTCCATACATTCTATACTCAGGCCCACGCGCTACACTACACTCAACATCCTCCAAGCATTAATTACCACGTCATAGATTCATCTCGATTCATCAATCAATCCTGCAGGAGCAGCTTTGGTCCTCAGGGCGCCGCCTGAACACGGAGGCGGGCCGACCAAGAAGGTTCGGCGCACGCTTGAGGATTGGAGCTAAGCAGCTAAACCAGGTTTGGTGGTGCTCTCGTGTTCGAGGTTATCGCTTTTCATCGTGGGGCCGGTTTTCTATCTCTCTTGCAGAATGCTAGTTGGGGTTTCCGAACAGGAAATGCATGTGAGCAACCCATACATGGCGGATGCCTTGTTGCCCTGAACTGCCGAGGCTTTGGATCTCCGTGTGGCCAAGGCGCTTCGATGTTGGGTGGGTGAGGAATGCTGGTTCTGAAACACCAAGCTTGCACGTGCCTGGGACATGCGCACTGAGAGCCCTCCATTTCAGAGAGGACGGGGTTCTGATTGGCAGGGGCTGGGCGCCAAGGGCTACAACAAGGTTCGCGTCTCTGCACCCCGGGCTGCAGTATTCCTCGAACGTTCTTCAGTAGTTCTTTGAATTGGGAGTGGACACTGTGCATGTCAGCCCTTGTGCCTTCTGGCTGGCTGTCTCCACCACTTCTGAAATTTGCAGCATGCATGTATGTGCACGCCAGTCTGCAATCAGCGAAAAGAGCGAAGAGATAGGCTAGTCCTGAACTAATGAGTGCAACCCAACAGTCTGTCGCAGCACGAAAGCGTTTCTACCCTGCGCTGCTGCGATTATTGGCCAAACCTTCAGATCCGTTGGGTCTCCCGAGATGCTGGGGGAGACACTGCTTCTCCCGAGCCTGCATCTGATGCCGTTCTGGAACCTCCACTTAGGTTATCGCGCCGGAGCTGCGGTCCTTCGAAGATTTCAACTTCACCTATCGAGAGCAACGAAGCAGCAGCTTAGGATAAGGGCCCGGTAAATCAGGCTTTGGGCCATCAAATCCTTGTTCAACCCACCAGGGAGGAGGTACCCCCTAGTCCATGTGCATTGCAAATTCTTTTCCTTGAAGGCGGAGGGGGTGGGTGGGGTCAATCAAGAAGGCGCCAAGTGCTTTTCTCGTACTTGATCTCCTTCGCCCCGTCCTGGTCCTCAGTTTCTGGCAGAGCCCTCTGGCTTCTTTCAGAGAAGCACGACAAAAAATGTTGAAAGGCAGGGTAGACAGGCCACCCCAACGTTGTTCCGGAAGTTGCTAGAGCAAGAAAAGACTCAGAAGCCGAAGAGCAGAATGAATCAGCGGATGAAAGCTGCGGCCCAAGCCCAACCGGCATCTACCTGCCAAAATCCAGATGTACATACTCAAAGTCCTAGAATACCTTGGGCAGGCCCCCTCTGACCTCGTTATCAAGGCGAGACCCACCCCAAGCAAGTTTACGCAAAACATGACCCAAACACAATTGCAGCTGGAATGCTTGGGTTGCCCTCGGCCAGGCAGTTCAAGTACCGCTGGACGGAGCACTTTTTGCACAGTGCCACTTGACCCGAATAGTCATTCATAAAGCAGGCAGAGACAGCAATGACCCAAGCAGTTCCTTGAGAAGAAGCTGTGTGCATGGGAATGTGCATGGAGAGCAAGTCTGCGCTGCTGTCGGCTCAGGCCACTGATCTGGCTGCATAAGTTGAACATGAGACCTTGCCGTTCGCTTTGCTTAACAAGTCTCGTCTTTACAGCAGCCCTCAAAAGTCACCAACGCTACCCGCTGCCCCCACCCAAAGTTTGATACCCCCCGCAACCAAAGATGAGGGGACAAGAAAGGGTCGAGCTCTCAATGTTATGTTACCAGCAGCGGAAGGGGATAGGCGCCCTTGAGCTCAATGCCTGCGAGGAGAAAGGGTATCTGGGGGACTCAGGGAAACCCACAAAGCGAACCCTACGAAGCCTGAAGCATGCCTCGCCGGGCCTGGCGATTCAACCTGGGGGTGTGTAGGAAGCCTTAGTGAAACACTCATTCGCCATGTTTCTGGACGAGTCGGATGACTTTGAAGAGATGGACTCATCTTACAGGCGGGGCCATAATTCAGATGAGTAGGGCTTGCTAGGTGCACAGCACGGGGTGGGTGGCAGGGCAGCTACTAGCCACTACTAGCCGTACGGTGGTAAGTGAATGCTGTAAGTCGGCTCGGCTAGATTCGGCAGTAGATGTTCACGCCCTTGGTCATATCGCACCGATTTGCTGCTCCTTCGCGGAACGTGATTGGGCAGGCTCAGGGCCACCCACACACCGCTCATCGTGGCCCTGAGCATCGAAGCCCTCTTCTGTGTGCTCATGACTCGCTGGATGATCGAGGCCGGAATCTTAAACCCTCCTCACCCTTGCAGGCATACCAGCATGGCCAAGTAGGCCTCAACCCGAGAAAGGGCCTTTTTTCAGCAAAACCGTTGTATAAGAAAAACGGTTTACCGGCACTAGGGTGCCCTAAGTTTCTTAGTTTCCATTCACCCATGTACTCAGTGGGATTTGAACTAGGGTAGTCTTGGTTTCTTATTTCGTTTCTTAAGGGAGCACGCTATACCACTAGACCAAAACCATGTATGCAGGCATGAGGGCCAAAGCTTCAAAACTGGGTAACGCCGTAGCGTCCCCAACCCCAAGGGTGGGGTCAGGCCAGGAGGGCGGGGGAGTCACATTCTGTTTTTTGTTTTCGCTTTCTAGGATTATAGGTTTTGTAGGGTTTCTAGGGTACAATAAGAGCCAAAAAATTGTTGGCGTTGAAATGGAGGTCTGGAGGGCTTTACAGGCGCGATTTTAAGAAAGTAGCTCCCCCAACACTAGGGTACCCTAAGTTGCTTAGTTAAACGGCAACCGCAAATCGGCCAAAATCCACGGACCTAGGGTCTTAGTTTCTTATACAATGGTTTCTTATACAGTGGTTTTACTGTCAGGGGTTATAGGGTAGAATAGCCCTTACAGGCATAGGCAGATGAGGGCAGGCTCAGGCGCAAGAGCAGTGCAACTACGCTCGCCTCGATTGAACACTATTGCTTCTTGATGGCCTTGAGGATGACCAGGACACATCCCCGTTGGAGCAGTATTTCATCGCCCAAGAGAAGGACTGCACCAGGATTCAGGGTCGTGCTCATGGTGGCGGGCTTTTTCTGCAAAGGATTTCGCGCTGATGCTGGCCCTGCTTGCTGGGGAATGTTCTGCTCAAGAAGATTTTTTTTCGTGAGTGCCGCCGGTTGCTCACCACCTTTTGGTGGGTTGTCTGGTTCCCCGGCGGCGTAGCTTAGATGACTTCCAGAACGTCGAAAGAACTCAAGGCATTCAGGGCTTAGGCAGCCTTCGCGCTGGGAGCTCCTTCTGAAGACATGCTGATCTGGACTCATGCAGCCCAGACTTCAGGACTTCATCATGCTGATTTGGGCCGTGTTCTCTGTGGCAGCAGCAGGGTGTCTTGGCTCGTGAGCGTTTTTTCGAAAGAAGTCTGTCTTGGCTGCCTCTCAGAGAGGGAGGGTTCCCATTCTTTCAGATGCGTCTTGCTTCTAGCCCGTCGCACGAATACAGATGAAGCACATGTTGACATCCCGATTAGGCGTCTGCTCTGCCTGGTTTGGTCGCACGTGCAGATCTTCAGACGCCGCAGCGGGCGCCAGGGCTGAGGGTGCATAGTATGTGCATAGTGTCCTGCGAGTCTTTTGGGGCCGAAGGATAGGTGGTTGAAGCCGCCTCGAGAATCTATGGCACGAGTTGGAACATATTCAGCAACCCCAACATCAAACATCGGGTTTCTCAGGTTGTTGCATTGTAGGGTCACAGTCTTGAGGTTCCCGGCGGCAGGAAGGGCATGATGGGGTGGGACAGTTGATGCCCAGCGCAATTTGTCTTCAGCTCATTCGGTTCAGAAGCGCTGGTATCGCTCGAGAATCCTGGGAAGAGCTGGTGGCACATGCAAGACTTGATCAACACGCTCCCCACGACAGGGTAATTATGCTAGGCCCTAAGGCTCATCCTCCAAAGTCGAAAACCGGTAATGTCACATCCCATCTTCTGCTATGAAGACAGGCGGCTCTCTGCAGTGTTGTTCATGATCTTCGGCACCGTGCACTGGTGGGTGCTGCTGCCACTTGGAGCAGCTGTTTTTCGTCGCAGCAATGTGTGGAATGCGTCGAAAGTCGAAGCCTAGGACCGCTTACTACATCGAATACGATGCAGCCAGCCCTGTGGAAAAGAAGCACCAGGCGCAAAGGTCACTGCTTGGATCTCCTTGGCATGCCTGGCATGTGGGCC